GCAAACTAACCCTTTCAAAAGGGGCACAACAGAACTCCTGGTGTCGAAAAGCAAACACGGTCGATACCCCACGCCATACTCGATGCAGCAGGAACAAAGTATTGCAGCTCTGCAGCTCTCGATGATAGGCTGGGCAGCGAAAGCGGCCATTCGCGTGTTGATGCACTGACTGCAACAGCAACACTCGCACTTCTGAAAACTCTTTTGGCTGGGAGATTGTCCAGCCAGGCCGGTAAAAAGTACTTGTTGGCAAGCATGCACGACGACACATGTTGTGAACGTTACAATGCGGCGCAGTCATCAACGGGAGACAAAGGCTGGATCCGAAGAGCACTCACTAGTCGCCAGCACAAGGCACGAGCCAATACAAGGCATTTTGAAAAATCCTTACTTGCTGCATTCACAGAATGGCACACAGGTTATCGCCATATTCCCACGCCTACAGCTGCAAGAGGCAGCTGTATTTTGTGGCAGACGACAGGCCAGTGGATTCCGCAAGTCCATACTACTTTGTAGACGGTATTATTAGGACAGAGGATTTCAATAAAAATATCTCCCTACTACAAAAAATTCAAAAGAAGGTGAAATTAATTAGGGCAAACTAAGCTGAAGCAGACGTGTAGCTCGAGTGGGGCGTTGCGCACAAGCTGAGCGAAAGAGCAACTTCACCTGCTAAAGCTGGCAACTGTGCTCGAGCAAACGACAAAAGCAATTGAGTTAATACAGATGCTTTGAGCTACTGCCACTACTAACTCCCAGTGAAAGGGCTGACTAGAGAACACACATTCTGCAGTATGAGCCACTTCGGCATATCATCTCCACTCCGGCTCGTTCCCAGCTCAAATGCCAAGTTCTTTTTCTTGGCCTTCCAGAATGCAGCGAGGTAGATCCACCTTCGAGCTGAGTGGAAAAGACGTGGCATCACCAACGGCGCGTAATGCGTCCTTACTCAGTAGTTCCGTTCCATGCACATGCTGGCACCTAGTAGCGGCGCCAGCACCACAGTAAATTCGGTGGAGCACATTGATCCATAGAGATGAATCCGAAGTTCATGAAGCGGTCTCCCAAGTCAACCACTGGACTCGGCAAGCGCTGTCGTTGCTGAGCTGCCGGCTGCCGTATGATGGGATTCGCGGCAACAATACGCGATAAGGCGATAGATTGTCGCCAGCAGCGCGCGTGTAGATTATGCATGGTCAACAAGCCTGTGGCTCGCAAATCGTCCAGTTCGCAGTCTTTGATACCTACAGGAATGGCAAAATCGTAGCTGTTCAAACAAAAGAGAGCGCTTTCTCCTGATGCATTGCGTTCAAAATAGAGAGCACAATTCACGGCGTCTTTGGGAAGGCAAGCGACCACCGCGCAGCATTGCTACCTCATGAGAAAGCTTGAATGCAACGGAAATGTCCGCCGGCGGGCATTTGCTTCAAAATCTCGGCTCCGCGAGCGCACCATCGACATCTAGCTAGATAGCCGCGTCTTCCTCAGCGCCCATTTATGCAGTAGTTCCGCCACAGGCTTCCCCAATTTTTGCATAACTAGTCGAAAAATGCTGCCAGAGTAAACGGAATTTTACGGGGCAGTCATGTGAAATGACGTACTGTGCAACTAAAACACCAGAACTACGATTCGTCGTCTAGTGAAGCAATTCGTCCCATGCCATGAAAGCAAATCGACAGGTGGAAGTAGCTTGCACCAGTAATGCTAGACCTGACCAATAACTTGGCACGAACTGGTTCGTGCTCGGGAACCTCTCACTGCCCTTAGCACTGATCGTGAATGCGACCTTAACGTTTCTAGCACACTCCACAAGTGCGTTTGTGCTCATTAAACACTACTTCTTGGCATTCCCCAGTGAGCGTACGCTCTCCCAAAACTACAAGCCCATAGACTGCCGGCCTACTGTAGCGAGCTTTGCAGCAAAGCCCGGCGTTGCACGCTAGGCTAAGGAAATTCATCGTGTGTTACGTACCTTCTGGATCAAAAGACGACCTCCACTAAACACGGTCCAATTCAGGGTCCTACGTTTCTTCGGTGGTGAGTAGGCACCACCAAGTAGCTATCTGATTTTGTAACATCCCCTTCAGGTGCTTCTCTCAGCTTTAGGGTACGTGCGGACGCCTTCGCAGTAAATGATCGTCACCTACCGCCTATTACAGGTTGACAGTTGCCTACTCGGGTTGCCGTACTGTGCATCAGTAATCGATAATCCACCTTGCCATTATACAGGGTAACACTAACTTCCAGAGGCCAAATATGGGTACTACTAGTCATAGCCGGAACCTGGCTGAATTAACATTACCCAGGTGGAACAAGGCAAAGTGGCATATATATCTATTTTCTGCATCAAATGACCAGCCGCTAGGTTCTTCGAACTGCCGCTTCCATGCGGGACAGGGAACCGCAGCAGTTTGCGGTTTGCAGTGCAAACCCACCCTCTTCCGAATCGATGTAATTGGCGCCTTGTAAGCACAACAACGCTACTCAGTGTTCCATTCCTAAGTAGCCCACTACAAATGAAGGAAATTACACATCACCAGGAAGTTGGTGAACGCCGTAGCTCACTGCGCAACGCCTAACTGTGGCCATTCTCACCACATCCGTACGAGCCTGTAAGAATCCCTTTGCCTTGGTAATGCTAGCAACATACCAACTGTATTCAGAAATATGGTGCTGCTTCGTTACGACGTTTCGATTCTGTATTCTCGTCCACAAACGGGCTATCCAGCTACTCGCGTGCAACTCGTCAAGGTAGCTGCAGATGCCAGTTAGCAACACACGTCCTGTAGTTTGTGCAAGGCCTCAACAAGACCACAGTCGAGGATACGCACACATCACGATCGTTAGTGACGAATTGGGATAGCATTCCGAAGAAAACCTCTGAAGGAAGCAGATGCATACCGCCTGTTGGAGGAAGAAAACATGCACGGTAATCCTTTGCAGACAAAACGAGCACGATGGAATGGACGGGAGCTGCACGACTGGACCAATCACGGTGAGAGCATGTTGCTAATTTTTGCCTTAATGGAGCTCTTCACAATGCCTGGCCTAATTGGCAAGTTGGGTAAGTATACTGTTGAAAACGTACATACTAGGGCAGCCGCACGTAACGCTTCATCATCTATTTACTCACCAAGTCGGGCGCTTACACAGCTTTTCAGCATCGCGGCACGCCCACCGTTGGCCTTTGTGTCAACAACTTAGGGAGCCCTCAACAGCAGCAGCACGACTATACGCACTATCTGGCAGGAGCTCATATCAACAGCTAAGGTAAATGTCTCAAAGCAGCCTCTTTGCTAATTCAGAAGCCTTGCTGGTTGTTAGCGCGCGCTGAAGGAACCATGTCCTGCACTATCACGACAGCATACTCTCTTTTTTCAATACAAAAATGTTTGGCGGTTCCTGCTGCTACCGGCGCGTCCAGTTTCTAGGATGCAATGCGGCAGGTCAAGCATGTATATGCTACAGCTCGAGAACTATTCGAAAGCAACGTACGCAGTTTTTCCAATACGGATTCTTTTATAAATGGGTAGGATGTGATCGAGAACAGATGGTACGGCTGATAACACCCTTGTACTTAAAGAAGCTTCAATTCGGCCGGGAGCGTAGCCTGTAAAACACCACCTCGCGCAAAAACCCACCGCCTGTGCTCCAGTCAGGCCCAAGCTGACGACTACACAGACTCGGTAAGTTATATAGTGTTGATTCAGAATGATGAAAAATGCAGCCATTCCACCAGCAAGAGGAAGGGCCAGAGTGATGTGCTCCTCGCACGTCCCTTCTAGGGAGTGTGGCTATGCTCTCTCTCTCACGTAAGCCGTAGAGAGGATTTTGACAAACTTCTGCACCTAGCCAAAGCGTTTACCCACGGTGGGGAGCGTCAAAAAAGAGGGGTGCACCGGAGCCCAAACATGAACTGCCTGCCAAAACGTACGCACTGCACCCAGGTTCTTGAAGACAACGTATGCGAAGCATGTGCAAATAAACAACACACTCTGACCTTGTGCCGTTATGCAATTCACATGTAGTAGCCGTTGTCCTGTCCGTAGATGAATTTGCCTTCAACAAAGGAAGTGTGTGCGTGCGTGTATGTGTACCGTTGGTGCACGTCGCCCCCAGCAGGAGGCCCATTCCAGTAAACATCGACCACCTATTCAGGGACAAAACATCCCAGTGCCAACGCACGATCTGTAGAAGGTTGATGCAGTTGGAAGCATTCTTATTGGCGAATTTAATCGAAAATTCCTCCCGTATTCACGATGCCCGCATGCATGAGCACTTATGGGCAGTCCCTGTACCTACAGTTCAGAAGATCTCGACGAAGCTACGTGTTTGCTGCATTTGCAGTGAAATACTCTCTAAAAATTGAAAACGGCGGGACCTTCTTCCTGCAGATGAGGGAAAAGGAAAGTTGACGAGTCTTCCCTGACGAAGTTCCTGTTATTTCTTGTCCAAAAAAGGACTAGAGTAATCCGTTTTCTGCAACCAAATAAGGTGCACCTGTGTTCTATTGCCAAGTCGCACTTGCTGGCCAGAATTACTCTATGTAACCCCCCCGTCCAATGGAAAGCGGCAACGATCGGCAGGGACAACTGCGTACAGATGGACACTGCAGCAGTGCTAGGTTTTGGTGTCGGAAAATGCCTTCACGCTATCCATGGCCTCGCATGGGTAAAAAGATGTGCGCCAAGCGCCACAAAACACTAGAACCGTTTTGAAATTGGGTGGGCAACATAAGAGGAAAGTTTAACATGCTCAAGCGATAAACGCACGCCCTTAAGTTATCGCCTACCCGCAATTTATTTTCCCGAATATGAGATGTAAACCCAAATCCGCCCGTGTGGCTACTGCGCTCAACTGTGCAATAAAACCGACCGGCAGATGGTTGTCGGTTGCCTTTGAGCCAACTTGTGCAGGGCAACAGTAGGTATGATTGCCTAAATAAAATGCCAAAGGGCAGACCCTTTTTAGCTGCGCGGACAAAGTTGGACTACATTCCCTCAGCCGGCTCGCAGCCAAGGTTCTGCCGAGCGAAAACACACTCGCTGCGTCAATTCGCATTCAAGAGCCCCCAGAAAGGCGATGAGCTCCTTTGCAGCATCTTGTTTTGCGGACGAACCTGCACAGTTAAAGCAGGGAAAAGATACCGCACTTGCTGTTTTGGTACGGGATATGGCTCAATTTGAAGCGGACGCGGCGTCGGCCCACGACGATATGGTGACACTGCGTTGAGTGTTCCCGTCCTTGGTAGTATAAGGCTGCCCTTCTCGCGTACTGAGGACGTAACGGCTAAGCCAGCATGCAACCAACCGAGTGCAATATTGCTGCTTCGCAGACGTACGATCTGCAGGCCACATACGAGGCAAACCATAAGTGAAGCAGCATGAACAGGATACTAGGGGACCGAGACAAATACATCTTCTTTCGGCCACTAAATTTTCACCAAGGAGCAGGTTGAGCGGGAAGTAGGCAAACATATCTACTTTAGTTTCCACTGGACAGAAGGCTGAACCCACCTCCTGCGCCCAGGAAGAACCAGTGGTCCAGGAAATTCCAACGGCATCGAGCCCACTGCCACAAACACGTAGGGCAGTTGCACAACACAGGGAAAAAGTCATTTTCCTCTCCAGAGCGTGCGTGCGGTCTCCAACCCAGCTGATTTAGCTGCAGTGCGCTCTACGTTCCTGAGCCTAATAGGTTCTCCACCCAATCTCCACGCTAGTCCAAGCCAAAACTTGCCGCAGTCGAATTGGCAGACTAACTTCCTGGGGATCAAGAACAATAGTGGCTGCATACCAGGGGAAATGGCAAAGAACACTCATTTAAGATGCAGTATTTCTACTGGCGAGTACAGTTTTGCATGCTTGGTGCTAGCTCCAGGCACTTTGCGTTGTTGTCAAAGGCATGGCACTGTAGGACCGCTCTGCCTCCGCAAATGATGAGTACGCGGATGCAGCAACTGTGCAGTACGGGCACAACACGCAACCAAAGCTCACATTTTTCACGTGCTTTCGGTATCGGTATACCTCAAAGCGCACCTCCTGTTTCCCAGCATGCAAACTCTACCCAGAAGAAAGACTCCGGTGAAAGCCGAGTCCCCCTGAAGTTACTTATCGTCGAAAAGCTCCGGAACCGCTGCTATGGGTATCTCAGAGCTCAGCACAAACTGTGGTTTTCTAGGACGTTCCTTCAAGAAAACCTCAGTTTGCGCTCAGCTTTGAGTTAACCATAAAATAAGAAAGAAAGTGCAAGTGGATATACTTCGAGTAATCAATGGCGCCATTCGACGCAGCCAAGAGCTGAAACAAAATGTGGGAACTGCCACGCCAGTGTGCGGAGCATGCACACGACACCGACCACGCCAATGTCTGATCCACAAAAGCACACGAACCGCAAGCACCAGCACGATCGTAAACTACATCACGAAGCGCCTACTCCTGCGTACTGCATGCTTCGCAGCATGTCCGAACTCGAACGACACGGGCGGCGTTGCTTTTCAGCGTGAAAATGACTTCACGCAAAATGAGAGCACATAGGCATGACTGAGAATATTAGTTGAATTTAGTTGCTGCATACCAGCTTCGCAAAGTAACATGCATTCACAGTTTACGGGCATTTGCGCGTTATGCATGTGCACAAAGCAATGCTTTTTCTTTCCCGCAAATGGCTACTATCCTTTCGCCCTCCCTGGGCTTTCAGAACTTCCCCTCGACTGACAACGAACACCCATCTTGCTGAGACCTCAATGCATTCGGCAAGCTGCGCACAAGAAACAAGAAGCTCTCTCCTCATGCGTCCAAGATTATTGTGGCCCACGCTAGCAGGCTTTTTAGCATAGTTATGCCAGCACGACTCACCGCCTGTTGGTCCTTGCTAACGGCACTTCACAACTAGTGAAGAATCGGACAAAGCGGGACGGCTGACTGCCGACGGTTCGTCTTGATTCGGAACTGCCTACGGCCCCAAATATCTGAACAGAACATTCTACTCAGACCATTTACATCAGGACGTTTTATCCTATCGAGACTGTAACAACCGGAATCGAGCCAAATCGCGTGTCCCGTGCCAATGCACACCGCAAGAAATGCTACCCACAGGGCAAAGGCTTGTGAACGCACAGCCTGAAGGGGATCAATGTTACAAATTTACGCTATCGAAATAATACACCTACGGAAGAAAACACGTTCTTTGAGAAATGTTTTCTGGGCTCCGTCCCTTCCTAAGAGGGAGTCTCAATACTCGGCCATGCCGTGCCCACTGGCCACTGTGCTTTACGCGTTCCCGGGGTCATTGAAGGCTGTTGTTATTCCATGTGCCCACTTGCCAACTGCACACTGATGCATAGCGAGCAGCGCCATAAAATGCAAGAAGCCGCAGATGGCGAGTGGCCCACATCCTGGTTCAGAAACAGCTTTGACGATTTGGCTTTACCTGTTGTCGCCTAGCTATCACTGGCTAGATACTACAGGCTACAAAATTCCCATTCGCAGGCAAAGTTACTCTGTCCATAGTAAATCCCTGTCCGTTTGAAAAAAAATACAAACCTGTAAGCTTTGGCTGACAAGTTATTAGCACACTGGTGAGGCACGTACTAACTGCGAGCAAATTGAAACTGGTCAGCACAACAAAAACGGTGCTCACACCTTTGCTTCAATTGTTAAGCGCCGTAAGTCGACATTAAATCCTCCTAGAGAGCAGTTCTATATGTCAGGCAATATACGCCGCCTTCAGATGTGAGTGTTAAAGGCATCTACAGCAGCCTTTACATATGCATTAGGCGTGACAAAGGCCCGTGGAGCAGCAAGAGAAATACGCACCGCCTGCGCTTGTTGGCGGAAGCAACAGGACAATGTACAGGTCATTGCACAGGGAACCAGCAGACCATACATGATCTCACGCACCCGTCACCAATTCGGAAATTCCAGAAATCCCTGTTATTCACGTTCAATCAAAGACGGCGAGCGAAACTGCCGCAAACAGCATAATAGGGTAAGGCGCCTCTACACTTGCAGTGCTTAGCAAAGGCCCCACCTGGCGTACGATTTTGACGTCCTCGTGAGCTTCCGTTAGCAACGAACATACTTTCTTGCGAATAGAGGAAAAGTTCATGAGCTAGTGACAAGCACTCGGCACTACCTCCGGAGAGGGGAGCCGTGTGACCTTGGAGAAGAGTCAGCACGAAGGGATTCAAATTGCCACCATTGTAAATTCAAGAGCCAGTCCAGTCTTACTTCCGGACGCTACTGCCTGTATTTCCGGCAATAAGGGCCCTGAAATAGAACGTAGAAGTATCTCAAGTTCGGCACGACCGCAGACGCTCCACCAAATGCGCCTCAGAAAAGGTGCGCTTCGGCTTCCGGGTAACCCCTCGGGTCTGTGGGAACATTCCCTAGGGGCTGAGGTGTTACCTCCGCCGGCGTCACATCAGATGAACTCCAGACAGCTCCCAGCGTTTCAACCCCTTTGATTTACATGTTCTGCTTGCTTTCCCTAATCACGATAACAATGACAACCTCTCAGCACCTCAAGTAAGGGAAGCCCATACATAGCAACACCGGGGAGTGAAACGCTCAAAATCTGCTGAAAGGGAAGCATTGAGCAATGGTCCATCTGTTGCTGAGAAGAGAAAAATGCAAGAACCAGGCTTTTAAAGTCAACCTACATAAGGAACACAGGCTTAGTGCTACCCAACTGAGCACGCCACCACTTTATCGCATTCACAAAAGGAGTGGCTAGTATCGGCGCAAACAAGTTTGTTGAGTACCCATAATCACTTCTCACAGCCACTCACAGTTACGTTCACGACCCACACCGTCATCTGAACACTAAGCGAAGCGTTTGGTAACTAACTAGCTGTACCCAGCGTACAACAGATTCACTTCTTGCCTGTGAGACTAACTGCCAAAGCCCTCAAGGCACCTACCACAGTAGCGCTCAAAGCTGCGCAACTTAACGCTGAGTTTCATCTCAACGAAAATGCAAAACACGAATTATGCGCTCATTGTATACACTCTGCTGTCTCTCATCAACCAGAACCCTTCTGTACAGGAAACCTATGCTTTGGAGCGCAACAGCAAGGGGCGAAAATTAATAGCACTGGCGCGCCCAACTAATCAGCTTCGCTGCGCTGGCGACCTCGCATTTATGCGTAATGAGCACGAAAGAATCAGGCATGCTTCGGAGTACCATCGCACCTAAATGTTTCAAGGACCGTAAAGCCACATCTTGGCGACGGCGGCACCTGAAGACTAGCCTACTGCTCCGCTACCGATACCAAAACAAAACTAACCCCTAACAACGTACCAACTGACGTCATAGGCGAATACACCCGATTGAGCTCTATGGTTTTTGTCAGGTGTAAAACGCCTCTATGTCTGCGGTGCCAGTAAAGGCTGCTTACTGCCTGTATACGGAAAATCTTGATTGATGGATGTCAATCAACCCGCTAACAGACAGCAAATGAGTGACCAAGAAAACGCATAATCAATTAGAACAGCATTGTATGCTTGCCATAAAGTTTTGCAATGGGTACTGCGTAGCCGGCACTAAAGCCACAACCCCCATTATGCCCTTAATATCTACACTCTGCTGCCCCTCACCGAGCTGAATGCACCGGAGAAGGGAAACACACTTGCTGGGCACACACATCAGGAGGCATAAATGGGTAGATCAGCGGCACCTGGCTAATTAGCTTCGCCGTGCGGGCTACCCCTAACTAATGCTTAGTCACGGGAGCATCGGGCATGCTTCGGAGTACCGTCACACCTAAATGTTTCAAGGACCGTAAAGCAACATCCTGGCGGCTAGGGCATCTGCGGAACTGCCCAAATGCCCCGCTAGAAACACCACTGAAACCAAACACACAATAATCCGTACGCAGAGCAGTAGTTGACACCATAAAGGTATAAGCATAATTTAGCCCTATTTTGTTTCCACATGCCAAAAAAATTCCAAACCTGCGTTCCCTGAAGAGGCTGCTCACCGCCTGCACTTGTAAGAGGTTTGATTGAAGGACGAGTATCAATTGACGAGTTGCCAGCCAATGACTAAACAATTCAACGCGTAGATGTCCAGCATAACATCATATTCTTACCGCACAGCTTTGCATTGGCTACTGTGTAACCGGCACTGATGCCAATTTCGTACAGCCTATGAATATGGTGAAACTGGAGAGCCCAAACTAACAGTCAGCAAGTGAAGGCGGCAACAGTTGCTGAATTCTTGTTCCAGCATACCAGCGTAAGCAACAAAGAATTTGACTCAGTTTCTGAATGCGCACCAAGTTGTTTTTAAAGCCCATCGATCAACTGAGGTGGAACCTGAAAATGCTGCCTTCAAGACAAGGCACCCCTTCGAGCATCACCCACTTTGATCTGGCGTGATGCATTCTCAACGTTTCAGTACAACGGGGCCAGCGACGGTGTAGAAACCCAAGGAAGGCGCTGCCGATGGTGTCGCCTTGCTCTTTAACTCCCAGTCCTTCATTTGACGTGGAGAGCCACTTGCACGAGGAAATGAAGACGCTGGCCAACGAAGCAAGGCTAAACCCTATACCCCTGATGCTCAACAAGTCACGCTGCCCCCCAAACCATTCCCCACAACGAAGAGAATCATGCGTGGAGGCACACTCGCTGTATCACCACAATTGTATTCGTAATGCCATCAATTCAACGTGCACCGGGAAGCCCAAGTGGCAAGGATTCTGTCCTTCCGCAGAGCGGCTCGTTATAGCATGTGAACTAATGATCGGTTGACAACCATGCTGCTAACAAAGGGTATAATCGCAACAGTAGTATGATGGGGACATTAGGAGGGGTAGACACAGAAGCTGGGATGGATTTTAATTCCTCACACTACTGAATGCTTTGAATAGTGGGTAAAGTGTCGAGATGCAGTATGTGGGCACAGGCCCAGTGCGGGAACCCACAACTCCCCAGACGATGTGCAAGTGATGAGGTCAGTTGCTCAGCGAAGCACCGCTCATATGCCATTTTCTTGTATTGTGCAAGTCAAAAATACCCCAGGATTCCACATGACAACAAAACAAGACAACTTATGCGGCCATTCAGGTAGTCCAAGGATGTACGTACCGTCTCAGCCTGGCAGTCTACATGGCATTGAAGAGCAAGCTAAGAGACAATTCGCCTGGAAGCGATAGGGGTCACAGACCATACCTCGCCTTAAGCAGCCATGGATTGGCCTATGCATCACACTCACGTTCTATCGCAGATCAAGCCTTCCAGAAGTGCCAACTGAACGCTGCTACGAAGTTAGTTGCACCAAATGCAGATACCGAAAAAGCGCATCCGTAGCTTGCCCAGTGGTTGTCAACGGAAACGGCTGAATGCCTCCCGAAGGACGAATTCCAGCTTGACTTCAAACTAATCACACCACTTGTATGCGCCAACCACCTAGTGAACACAGCAAGGAGTTCGACCATTGCGTACACAACAGTCATTCTAAAAAGTACACAATACCTGATGGAAAGACCAACGTAAGCACTGAGGCAACACTCCCTTCTGTTCTGCAAGGGGCAAGCAAAGAGCACGCCTGAACTACGACCGTTTATGAATATCTGGTCAGCGACATTCAAAGATCCTAGCCTTCTGTTTAGCTAACCGCCTCTGAAGCCTCAACAACGATATACTCGTGCAGCTCAGCATCTGGATGATCCCTACGGTCCCTTTTTGTATCCTGGAATCAGCACCAACGATGAGCCCTTAACTCTTAAACCAAAGGCACCAAAGGAACCCAACGGTTAAACACTAATCCAAAGGAAGCCGCCCTCAAGCATCGAAAAGCTGCAAGCAGCAGAAAACGCAACGCTGTCAAGAGTCTAGAGCCCTCAAATGCACCGCTTTGATCAGAGCTGCTAAAAGCGCGTCTCAAGCAGCATTACAAAATCTTCTCCACTGCTTGAATGACTCAAAGGCATATGCCCACCTCTGTCGCTTTCTCAAATGCAATGAACGGGAACGTCGCGTCTTTGTCGTGTCACGCCCTGCAAATTGTCCAACAGATAATTCTTGAATCGATGTTTTCTTTGAAGCTTCTCCGTCATCACCCTTACAACAGTTCGAACCCACCATCTAGGAAATCAAAAACATCCCCAAACAGGCGCACAATCTTCCATGAGATATGGAAGACTGCCTTGGAAACTACTGCAGCAGCAACCATCCGCGGTACGCGCCGATGCCTTTCTGAGACGAAGGCAGGCGCCACTCATGCGCCGTTCTACACTCAAAAACAATGCGGGGCTGAACATATCTCGTAAATCGCTAGATGTACTATCTATGAATAAGCAAGCCGCACATTATCCAAATCATTCCTCACGATTTGCTTCCGCAGCTTGCCAATCCCTTGGTCATTCAGTGCAGAAACCCAGTTCAAAACAGTCAGTTGTCTGCCGTTGTCTTCCGGCAATCGGGCTGCATATCGAGAGTGTTCATGTTTCCAACTAATTCATTGATCAGGAACTGTGCCAATCCTCCGTGAAGCTGAGGTGCCTGAGTGAGTAGTTCAGTGAACACTGGCGCAGCATCCACTCAAAAGTTTTCCATTCCGCTTCTGCTAGTTCAACAAAGTCACCTAGACCGATGTGTGGCAAGCCTGCTTACTACATTTGCATAGTGCTGGAGTACATAGTCTACACCACAGCCAGAAGGCGCTACAATAAATATATATGCATAGTGAAGAAGTTACATGAGCATATTGATTTCGCCGTCTGGTAAGTGCCATGCACATCACGTATAACAGCAATGCGCTGCTATAGCAGCAATGCGCTGCTGTGATAAGCAGCCGCATTACCCTGCTGGGTGACCTCACCGGCCTTGCGGGCGCGAAATGTGTAGCTTTCTAATGCGCAAGTGCATTATCGTTTGCTAGACGCTATCTGTATGCAGGACACAATGAAGAACCGTTCTACATGTCTTAATTAAGCAAGGCTGAAGGCACGTGGATGCTAGTCTCGGATGAAGTCCCCCACCTAATTGAACGCCACCGCTACAAGACGGCATGCCTCAATTGTCAAACTAATGAACGCATGGATCGTCAAATGGTACTAATTTTCCAGGTGTGCAGGCATATTTGCTTTGAAATGCGTCTCCTATGCACTGACGAGCGTACGTCCTGTTATCGAACTTTGGCGGCCTTGCTGCCACTAGCCTGAGATATATTCTTCATGATTTCCTATACACTGCGCATCAAATGCAATATTCCAGTGGCCACGAAACAAGCGGAAGGCTTCACATCCACAGGAAAGATGAAGCATACTCCTACCGTGAACCCCCTATGAAACTATAATAAAACTTTTACAATTTTACAATGCACGCAGGACAACAAAAGAAAAAACACTACACAAATATGCATCGACATACATTCTGTCTCCACCCTCGGGGTATTCAGCGCAGTTGACATGGGGCCACTCTTTGGCCGACAGCGTAGTCGGGGCGGGGCACCATCTTCTCCACCACCACAAAGGGATCATCTATTTTGTGCTTGAGCGCCTTCGCTACTCTACGTCATGATTAGAGAGCCTATGGCATGCGCAAGTGTGACGCTACATCCGTACCACCTAATGAAAGCAAAGCGAAAATTGAGCGCGAGAAGCACCTCCTTGGGGCCAGTGCACTGGGATGGAGATAAAGCATGCAAATTGAGCCTTTATTACGTTTCTCCCTCGAGAACTCGACAAGACTAATTGCCATGGACGCTACACCTGTTTGTCCTCCAGCAGTTCTCTCCATACGAGCGCTTGAATGGGGAGTGAAGCTTACTCGCTTTTTCAAGAGGTTAGCACAAAAGGAGTAGTATTGTTAAACACACATACCACTGTTACATTTTGCCTTTGTCAGCTTAATGCTGGTAACGCCTACCTCGGAGAAGCGAAGCGACAGAGTATGTGCAGCACCAATGTTCTTAAGTCTCCACCACCACCGCATGAAAGTCTGAGTAACCGTGAAGCAGACTAAAATGCGCGGTACAACGCACTCCCTATCCATAAGAAAACCAGTCTGCGCCCACAGGAAGGACAATAAAACCTATATATATACATATATATATATATATATATATATATATATATATATGGGAGCGTCCGGCGGAGGTGGCACGCACATGTGGGATGGCCTCTGTAGTTATTCCTTCTGATGAGCGTTCAGAAGAAGCAATTACCGGGTGTCAAGCCTATGTGCCTAAGAAGTACTGGCAGAAGCACTCCCCTTCGCCAGCGCGAATGAGCTGTAGGGTCTGACAGCAAGGCAAACACAGCAATTGTGACGGACTATGTACGCCAGTACATAATCCGCCGCAATTTCTGCCCAAGTGAATGCCTTCCGTGATCCGAAGAACAGGGTACGCACTTGCTGCGGTGATGAAGGCAGGTTTGCTCACACCAGATAGTCGGTCCTTGCTATATAATTGGCCCATTTGAAGCAAATGATACTCCCGATAAGTAGTACAGAGAATGCAGTCGCCTGTTGGAAACGCCATGCAAGCGACAACCGAATGCGTCACAGAAGCCCTACAAGGCTTCCATCTGATGCAAACAACCTGCATGAGAAGCAGCAAACTATGCGTTCTCTCCGCGGTTTCCCAGATGCGTCAACGGAGCTCAAGCGACAAGCCATACACCGCATTTACCAACCAAATGACGCACGACCTGAATGTGCCACGCTTTAGCGATCGCTGGTCATGAAGATTCAGCCACTTGCATTCACTCCCCTTTAACGCTGTTTCCTCCATCCATAATAGCGGCAAAGACAAGCCAATATCCTTGAGGTTCACTAGCCAAGAAGGCTTTATGGCGACTTTCTAAGATCGTTTTCCACCAACAGTCAGAGGAAGCGATGCACGATTTAGTTGCTTTGAAAATCGTCTCACTATCTGTGAATGAGATGAGATCATTGAGCTGCAGAGCTGCACACGGCTGCATCTCGCTACCATCGCAAGAAGCCACCTAACGTGTTTTCATCGAAGACTGGGACCTCGACTGTCAAGGATTTGACTTCCTTGTTCAAAAAGGTAGGGCAAAGAAGAATCATCACGAAATGTATGCGCACGCATTGTAAACAACGCACGCCTAGTAAGCAGATACCCTGCACCAATCTTCCTTGAGGGTCCAATATGTGTGATTGTTCAAGCCACTGCAGCCTACGACCGTCGTGCAACGCTGGATAGGGAAACGTACTGCCTGAGAGGCACAGCGCCGCATTAAGCAATAATGGGGCCACATCAACCGTTGCAAATGGCAAAGAAACTCCCCCGCTCTATACTAAAGAAATTACAGCCAAGATTTTCAGATGCCTTTACTGAAAGCCCCAAGCCAACGTTGAACTACCGTCGTTCTAGAGATACCTTGACGATATCACTGTTCTTCAACTGGCACTGCCAAGGGCGCAGGCCCATTTAACATAGAAAGCCCTCACTAGCTGTGCGAATAAATCCACTATATGCACAAATTCCAATTCCACCCTTAACCAGCGGCGCCTTTCCTGGCCTGCAGGCTAGAAGTGCATTGCATTGCATGGCAGCAGCTCTAAGTTCAGCGCTTGTTCTACGTACTAAGTTATCTACAGATAAAGTCTTGTACTTAATTTATACGGCCTCCACCTGAAACTAATGGCCGTCAAGTCTGAGTTGGAATGATAAGAGCTAATGCAAGCACGTCTCAGGCATGCGTGCATTTTTTTTAAGGTGACGGCCTTCAAGATCGTTTTCTCTCCCAGATGAGTACCACCTTGCGTTATGTCTTTGATGCAAGCTTGCCCTTCATTCGAAATTCGAAACGAACTAGCGGTTTCATGCCTTGAAGCCAAATCGTACCTTCTGCATCAGGCGCAAGGGCATGCATAGGTCATAAAACGAGATGGTTGGCGTTACTGATAGCCGAAGGCCCACAAGCTATGACCGGCTGCAGTATCAAAAGAAAGGCTTAAAATGATACGTGTTTTTCACATTATAGCGCGTTTCAATCAACATCGACAGTCAGAGC